GGGGGGGGTGGTGCCTAAAATAGCTTTCAGGCTCCAGTTTCAGCAAATGAATTAGTGCTATGTCCTGATACAGGGAATAATGGAGGTGGAGGTGGACTCCTCAGAGTTGGTTTGAGGTGAGTGTGCAGTCAGCTAACTTCACCTCATTTCTATTCTCTACTCACATGATTCTTGTATTTTCATTTTAATGTACTCGTTTTTTTTTTAACTTAGCAAACATTATTGTACATCTGTTATGGAATTTAAAAATGGTGGGACAGACACAATCTTTCAAGGAGTCTTAGAGAAGGTAATTAAAATAGATGGTACTATTAATTAAGGAAAAATTTTTAAATATTGCCAAGACATAAGAGTGCATTTTACTCAAGAGTTAGAGATGGAGACCAGGAGTTAGGGAAGGTTTTCTGGAAGAAATATCTCTGATGAATCTGGGAAGAAGGGAGTCTAAGGGAAAAGTTATTTCATGTAGAAGGAAAAGCTAGGATAGGAAGGAGACAAAAGAGCCCAGGGTGAGTTAAGGAGGTCAAAGAGCTCAGTATGGCCAAAGTATACAGCAGGGGGAATGGAAGCAGGAGTTAGTGACCAACTTAGGAGTCTGAGTTTTATGCCGAGAGCAAGTATTTTAAGGTACTTATCCATTTTGATAATTATTTATTAAAATTTAATATTTTAAGGTACTTATCCATTTTGATAATTATTTATTAAAATTTAAAATTTCTCTATTCATGGCCCCCGGTACATGTATAAACACTTTAATTTCTATCATTTTCTTTTACTCCAAAACAAATACAATATCATTCTGCAAAACCAAGAAGTCACATGAGAGTTTGGACTGCATTTGCAAAGCCAGGATATCATGTCACAACTCCCAGAGCTCATTAAGCAGCTACTTCTGATTAAATTAAACCCATTAATAACATCCTCAATGCATCTTTAGGGAATATTTTTTTTTCTGATTATACCAATGACTGTTTACAACTTGACAGTCAACATTCTTCAAGTCTTACTTTTTTACTACAATCAAAAGGATGTCACTCATGTGGTATAAAAATTTTCAAACAGAAAGAAATTCCCACCCCTTGGAACATTCTGGACACTTTATTTTTCACCTCTCATTTCCATGATAGAACTGCCTCTGTTCTCTTGGTCCCAAGAGGCCTGGTTTTTAGATTTGCCTTATTTCACCTATCCCTATGGACGTATGTGTTAAACAAAAACATAAACAAAAACAAAAACAAGGCCTCTCAAATGTGAGATGGTTGAATACCTCTATCCATAACTCCCTTCTTGGTTCTCCTGTCTTGAGAACTCATTTCCACTGATCTCTTTCCTTTTTCCAACAATAATGCTAGGTCCTCCTCATACCTTATAACTCCATTCACAGAAGACTATGAGTGATTCCTCAGTATCACCTTTTTTATCCTTTGTTCTTTTATATATTGTTCTGTCTTCTTAGGTAACCTGCCCCTGCTCCCTCTACCTACCTGGGCAAGTCTTATCCTTCTAGACCCTCATCAAGCACTTTCTTCTCCAATCTCTTTCCAAATCTGGACCACTGAGCACTTCTACTTTTAGGTCACACCCATCATTCTATTTAAAATAGTTTGTATCAGCATATTGGGGTAAAGACTGTATTATTTGTCTTTATATCCTCCATATCCAGGCAATGCCTGGTAAGAGGTAGATACTAAATTGGTGACTGTTCAACTATTCAATTATTCAGTGAATCAATACCCAAGTGTATTTTTTTAAAAAAAGCCTCTCAAATGTGAGATGGTTGAATATCTCTATCCATAACCCTATCATCTCTCATTTGTTAGATATTTTAGAAATACTTGTAAAAATATGATTCTCAGTTCTAAGTCTCTAGAAATCCTAATGGGATCCCAAATGCTTCCAATTTTGAGATCCATGCTGAGAAGTGTTGTTCTAAAGCAAGAACATCAGGAATATAACCAGCATGAAGTGGTGATAGTGTGGGAGAATTTCATCTTTCATTTTATTATATTCCATTGAAATAAAACAAAATCCTGGTACAACATACACACCACTGATTCCTCTATACACATATCCATCTACCCATCTATCTTTCAGTCGTTCCATTCCTCCCTCCCTCCCTCCATCCATCCTTCCATCCACCCAACCAACCATTGCCCCACCTATACATGTAACCATTTACCCATCATCAAAAATGTTGAGACCCCCCTTGCACTGTGCTAGTCACCCTTCCAGGCAGGTGACAAGCAAGGGGAAAATCTGCATGTAAAACAGACTCCACATTAGAAGGATTTAAAAAGCAATTGTTTTAAAAAAACTTCCAAGATAAACAACATCAATGCAGCAAGGATCTAAATTAGGAGTGGGAACATGCCAGGTTTCATTGCTCTTTTTCTCTTAAGAAAACACCCAGAGGTCCTGATCTCTGAATTAACATTAAATACCTCTCAGTTCCCATTTTCCATGGAGATTTTAACTAGGGTTGTGAGTTTCACGTTTTAAATGTTCACACAATGTGAACCATGGGGATGCAAGGTTTGGCTATTTTAGAAGTTTTCTGAGTTGCTTCCTTTGCATTAGATTGATTTTCCTGAGCATTGTACATTTTGATGCAGAACAGAAGGCCGGGAATTCCTGAGTCTGGCTGAAGGTGAGGCAGGGCTGACCTGATTTATGTCCCTTTGGGGAGAATATTTTTCCCTAGTTGTTTATAGTCTTTGGCATGCTTTTCTCTCCCAACACCTACCCTGCCTTCCAGCAAACATTTCTTGTCATCTCAGAAACTTTAGAGTAAATTCTCTATTACTTTTGCAATTCTTTACAGCCACCTCAGTTACTTAGCCAACTTTTTTTTTTTCTTCCCACATGTCAAAAGTGACAAATTGCTGTTCTGAGACAGTCTGATAGATGAGTCAGCAAGTGGGCTGAGAGGTGATGTGGCTTTTCCTGGGACAGTTTGATGATCTGCTGAAGGAAGGGGAACTGAGAAGCAAACTGAGATGAAAACCAACCAACAACAAAACAAAAAATCCTCTAAGGAGCCATAGGTACCAGTTCCCTTGCCTGCAAGCAGGTGAGCCTGTGGGACCCTCTGAGCACTGGAAATTGGCAGAGCCATAAGACAGACGGAGCCTGGGTCTCCTGATCACCAAGGAGAAAACCAAACCTACAAAGAGCATTGTGACATTTTAAGCCACTGAGATGTGGGGATTTCTGTGATAGCCATCAGCTTCCCCTGGCTGATATAAAAGAGAGATAAATGTGACTTTTTTTTTAGGGGAGACTGGACACTATGCTGCTCCTTCTACCAAGGTAGGCTCTGCCACAGCTGCACCTCCTTAGTAATTTGGGGGTTTTAACACAAAACACTCACTGATGGATCCTTTGCTGGCTGAAAGGGGCAGTGTAGCAGTCGTTCTCCTCCAGGTCTGGCAGTGTCTCCTTGTCCAGCCTCATTGGCTTCTTAGGTAACCATCTCCGAAACCTGCTTATTTGTTTATCGATCCTGTGGTACATGGAAGGCAAGACCAAAGGGTACAGCATGTTAGTCAGCATCAGCCTGAAACACAGGAGCCATCATGGTGACACACACACACACACACACACTCCTGGCACTCACTGCACTCGTGGCAGCCCTACTTCAGAGACGGGGCAGAGGAGAGCTGGAAGCCCAGTGTGGTTTCCATTTCACAGAATGGCCTCCATTTTATCACCTTTGAAATAGCAGCCATGAGCTCTATGTCCACCCACAGGCCAATAAATGTTCAAGTGGCGTTCAAGTGGCCATAAAAAGGATGGAAGGCTCTGGAAAGGAAGCCAATCGTCCCTAAGTAAATCAGCAGAGACCTGAACTTCATATATTTTGTAGGTGCTAGAGATTTGTTATATGTTTGGAAAACCTCTGATGTCAGAGAAGAGCTCTAGCTATCAACTTTCTCTGGGGGACAGGTGATGGACAGCACATCCCAGTGGATTGAGTTGTGGACACAGAGTCTGGTGCTGTGGTTTGCTTCCTGCCTCTCCCACCATCTCTGTGAGGCCTCTCAGCACATAGCACACCTGTCAGTCAGCTTTCATTTCCTTTTCTAGCTGATTTCAGGGTTCTCATGATCCTGGGGTATCATGACACAAGGTGTCTCTCTGACCAGTGCATACAATGGTGCCAAAGAAACAACAGTGTTGCAAACATGGTTTTTAAGCCACATTTTTCTCCCCAACTATGTCCCTATTCCCTTAGTCCTACTGAAGTCCACTGATAAACACTTCTGGCTTCCAAGCGGCCAGTCATTGTTCATGGTAAACCAATAGAAGGAACAAAAAACATGCCAGATTTTAAAACACCATTGCCTTCCCCTTCCCCCAGACTAAACAACATCGATATTAGGTACCAGTTTCACATTACTCATCACAAACGGGACCGCTGAGAGGAAGATCATCCAGTGTACATTATCTAGCCAGTGAATAAAGCCAGAACCAAAATGTAGATTTTTGGACTTGATGTTAGGGATCACTACACAATTGATAATGAGGATATTTAAGGGATCTAGAGGAAACAAATTCCTCTGGAGAAGAAAATATTTCAATGACTCCATAAACTGAAAACATATACAGTTCAGTCATGTTTCATTTTTTTTTTCAAATTGAAAATGTTTCATGCTAACTTATCACATTCAGTGACTGCGTTGGCTAATTTTATGTGTATATTTGATTGGGCTAAGGGATGYCCAGATAGCTGGTAAAACTAAATTACTCTAGGTGTGTCTATGAACATGTTTCCAGAAGAGATTATCTTTTGAATTGGTAGACTTGATAGATTGAGAAGCTGGCCATCACCAGTGAAGACTGACGTTATCCAACATGTTGAGGGCCCAAATCGAACCAAAAGGCAAAAGGAAGGGCAATTTGCTCTCTACTTTAACTGGGATTCATTTTCTTCCGTCCTCCAACTTTGGTGCACAGAGAGCCTTCAGACTTGCACAGAAGGCAAATCTCATGGTATGAGATTTCCTAGGTCTTCTCTTTGCAGACCACAAGTCATGGGATTTCTTGGCCCGCATTAATCTTCATCCAATGGTGTAAATCCCCATCTGAGTCTGAAGGCCACAGAACCAGGAGTGCTGATGCCAGAGGGCAGGACAATGGATGTGCAAGTTCCAGCGGACAGCACATTTGCTCTTCCTCCGTCTTTTGGTCCCATCCTGGATCTTGATGAACTGGATGGTGCCCACTTGCATCTGTGATGGTCAATTTCTTTACTCAGTCTATGGATTCTAATGCTAATTCCTCTGGAAACACCCTCACAGACACATCCCTAAATAATGTGGTACTAGCTATCAGGGCATTCCTTAACCCAGTCAAGCTGACACATAAAAATAATGGTAACTCCTCTGACCACCTCATTCATCCTCAGCATTAGTCCAGCCTCACTGTGACTCTAACTCTGCCTTACAATAGCGGTCCTTTCTCAGAACCCCTGAATGTCCCAGCTGGAAAGAATCTCACAGCTGCCTTAGACCCTGAAAGGAATTCTTCCCATATCTTCTCCCCAACATACAAAGAAGTAAAGATTCTACCCAGGGTCATACAGCCAAAAAGTATAGTAGATTAAAAGGGTCCAAAGCTCCACCCCCCACCCCCACAAAGGAAAAAAAATCTCCATCTCCTCCATCCTTCATCCTCTTTGTCCTACTCTGACCTTAATCATCTCTTTAAAGATACTTAAACTATAGCGAGATGATGGGCTTCAGAGTAGCAGCATGATGGAGTGATTGAGAACATCAACTCTGGGGCTGAAGTGCCTAGATTCAAATCCTGGCTCTGTGAATGAATGTGAGCAGTGCAACTTTGGGCAAGTCACCTCACTTCGCTGAGCCTCAACTTTTCCCATCAGCCAAATGGGCATGATTATGATACCCAGTTCGGAGAGCTGTGATGATGAGCTAATTAATGTATACCTAAAGTCTTCAGAACAGTATCTGGCTATGATGATCATGATTTTTCTTCTTTTTTTTATTTTAAAAGTAAGGATTTGAGCAACTGGCTTGCCTCTTAACATTTCTTTTTGCTTTCAATTCCGTTAATTGTGCTTTGCCAGCCTCTATCGCCTGCCCAAGCTCAATGATTTAGTCCTTAAATGGACTCATAAATTAGACTTCCTACACTAAGCTGGTGGTCTTCCCCATAGTGCCTTGCCTTTTTTTCCCCATCTGATTTCCTTAAAACTGATTCAAGAAAGAGGACATTGGCCCAAAGGTTTTCTATAATAGAGCTTTACCTCCCACACATCTCCAGTATGTAGCACTAATCGGATTACATTTTGCAGAATCTGGGCTCTGCATGCAATGACTATGAATTCAACGCAGCTGGGTACAGTGCTCAGTGTGGATAAAAACAAATAAAGCTGTAAAAAAAATCAAGCATAAATACTCTATGGGAATGAAATGGCAGCTTTTAGCAGCCAGCTGTGGCACCACAATTTAAATGAAATGTGGAGATGGTGAAGAGAGAGTAGAACAGGGTAATGAAAATGATTAATTAATTGGAACATGAGGGTAACAGGAAATGAGAAAGGAGCAAAGGGAGACTGACTGGCATGGTAGAAGGCAGATGGGCTTTGCCATCAGGTACCTGAAACCTGCTTCTATTGCTTATTAGCAATGTCATTCACCTTTCTGAGCCTTGTTTTCCAGGGTTATAAAATAGGCTGACAGTAATAATAGTCATCATTATCATCACCATCTTACTGATCCTCCAGGATGGTTAAGGGGCTCATAAAAGATGGTGTGTGTGAAATGCTTTGGAGAAACTGTGAGGCAGATAGCAAGCATTACTAGTGATCTCTCGAGGACCACAGAGAATGAAGGGGAAAGTGATAGAAAGCAAAAGAACTGGATTTTTAAAAACATGATAGTGGAATAAAGATATGCAAAAGAACATCTTAAAAACAAAACTCCCAAATACTGGCTGGGCTTGCAGGGTGGTGCAGATGGTCTGGCCTTCACTGGGGAGCCTGAACAAAGGCAGTACAAAGCGTGGACCCTCCAGGTTTCATCCCCCTTGCCTGCTGATGCTCTGGGCTTTTCACAATGATGGAAACAAACACTCAAACATGTTCAGTAGTTAATTTCTTCTGGTTGGCGGGATTGCTCCCCAAAGATGCCCACACTCTAATCCCCAGAACTTGTGAATATGTTAGGTTTCATGGCACAAGGGACTTTGAAGATATAAACAAGGTTCCAGACTAAGGTAGAAAGAACATCCTGGATCCCTCAGATGAGCCCAGTTTAACCACATCAGTCCTTTCAAAGCAGAGACTATTCTCTTGTGGGAGGCAGGTTACATGTGGAGGAAGGAGAGGTCAGAGAATATCAAGGTATAAGAAGGGTTTGATATGCCATGGCTGTCTTAGAAGATGAAAAGTTTCACAGCTTGAGAATGCAGGTAGTCTCTGGAAGCTAAGAATGTCTTTCAGGCAACAGCCAGCAAAGGAACAGACTTTAGTCCTATAATTGTGCAAACTAGAATTGTGTCAGCCACCTGAATAAGCCTGGAAGCAGATTCTCTTCCAAATAAGTTTCCAAATAAGAGCTCAGATTGCCTAATACCCTGGTGTTAGCTTGGGGAAACCCTGAACAGAGAAATCAGTTGAGCCCTCCTCCACAGGACTTCTGAATTACAGAACTGTGATAATAAATTTGTGTTGTTTTAGGCAGTTAAATTTGTGGTAATGTGTTAGGACAGCAATGGACACTGATACACCTCTTAATAATAGTCTTGGTCTGACCCTCTCCTTGAGGCCTGGCCATGGTGAGCTGGGCTCTGGAGGTACCAAGGCTGCCATTCCACAGGCTGCTGTTCCCACCCCGAAGGTAGAGGACTCTGAGAGTGGGAGTCTTTTTCTCTGCGGTAGGGACAAGATATGTGATGCTGCCCTGGGCTGCTCTTCACAAACACATTTCCGTTTCCAAACTGCCACACTGAGACACTGCTGAGGACTGACATCGCCGAGAAGCACACCATGCAAGAGCCACTGGGCTGGGAAGCAGGAGGCTCAAGCTGGATTCTCAATTCCACCACTGTACATGAGTGTGACCTGGGACAAGCCTTAGTGTCATCATCTCTAAATTGATGATCAATAATATACTCTCTCCATATTACTTGCTGTTGGTGACTTGGGCAGGATTTTGGTTGCATCATTTTAAAGAAACAACAGTAAACGGAAAACTTTCCATATATAGCGGTGGGTTCTGGAGTCAGCTGGGAGCAGATTCACAGCCCAGTTATACAGCTTGGGAAGTGTGAGAGGTTGGGCCAGTCAGTAACTAAACCTCTCTGAGCTGATAGAGCCCATCACATTAGGAAGAGTGAGGACTAAACAAAACAATTAATATCAAGTATTTGCACAAGGCCTTAGATGTATAAAGGGCTCAATGAAGTAGTGGTTTCCTGAATGAAAAAAAAAATGATGATGATAATGACAGAAAACTTTTATGTAGAATTCTCTTC